CGGGGAACAGTAGCCATAGTTGTCGCACACTTTTCTCAGTCATAACTCCAATCTGTTTCTTATAATTGTATTGAATTTCATTGTTTTCTTCTTTTATTTTCTTTATTATAATCGATCCTAAAATTCAAATGTTATGAGACGTGTATAACTATATAAATCTATTTTGTATGACTGACCCCTATATGGAAATCCAGATGAGTTGATAACTGGTGTATATTTCATAGTATGCGACAAAAGAGCCAAAAAATCATTTGTGATTTTCTTTGGGTTATTCTCAATGAAATCCATGATATGTTTCACTGAATCCTCATTTCTGCCGCAAATGTTGACAATTCTGGGGATAGTTTCGGCAATTTTTAGGCCATCACTGGTTTGCAACTTATAGTTGGGTTCAACCAATACGTGTGCGTTTGCGCCGCCGATACCGAAGTTGTTGATTGCGACCAAACCTATAAAATATATGTATGTTTAATAAAGTCTATCATCATGTATTTTTAAATCTCCAAATAATTTAAAATCATTTTTAATACCCGGTTTATACGACAGTATTTCATTGATCGCTAGAAGTGGTGGAAAGTATGGCTTCAACTCTTGCTTCAGATTTTTGAGATTCAGATTCGGAGGAATGGATTCGTTTTCATATGATATCAACACTTTGATGATCGCCGCCACTCCTGACGCCCCCTCCGAGTGACCCATTGAGCTCTTTAGGCATCCGATGGGCAGCGGTTTCCTACGTCCCGGTGCTTCACAATAAGCCTTATATATAGCTTTTATTTCCTCAGTGTCTCCGACCTGTTGGCAAACAATTATTTATTAGAATTTCAACACAAATATTCAATATATCCAGGGTACAGTACATAATTTAGTCAAATATTGAAATGTTAACATAGCTTATCAATTTGCTAGATTCTGATATAAGTGATATTTAATATAAGAATAAAATTACATATTTCAAAAAATTATAATTATTAATTAAAATTACTGATTGACTGATTACCAGGGACCTTTCAGCTAAAATGAGAGGTTTCTGCACCCGGAATAGATTTGACAATAAGATAGATCATTAGATTATAGAAAATTATAAAACATTATAAAAATAGATAAATATACTAATCATTTAATAGCAATACACTAATTACCTGGATTGACCTGAATCGTTGATTGGATTAACTTAATTATGAACTGGATTAACTTAATTTATTAATTAATCAAAGATTACCTTGGTGCCAGTCGCATGTGCCTCAAAATATGTCAGTTTTAAGGGATCAATATTTTCACATTTATACGCCTCTATCATAAGCGCCTCCTGGGCTTCACTCGATGGGGAGAATTGACCCAAAGTTTTGTAGCCATCCATTCCCATGCGGGCCGACACCACACGCCCGTACACTCTGTGCGCATCATTAGCTCGTTGTATGAATAGACAGCACACGGCGTCTGACTTGACGTACCCGTCCGCTGACTCGTCCAATACGGCGGACACACCTCTCGGAGAACACATACCCATGTATTGCTTGTATTGACTAATCATTGGATTGAATAGCATATGACTTCCGCCAACAATCGCCCGATCAATGGTGCCTTAAGTGTGTAATAAAATAAAACAATATGTTAATACTGTACTTATATGCAACAATTACTGGTAATGAAATATGCCCTTGGTACCTGCTTTGATAGCCTCATACGCGAGGCAAAGTGCTGCTAAACCGGACGAACAGGCCGTGTCTACCAAAAGTGACGGTCCCTTTAGGTTCATTTGAAATGAGATGTTTGCCGCAAAAAAACTTTTCAAATTAAACATTATATCGTGGAAGCCGTCAAATATTTGTTTCTGGTGCCCGTCCAATGGGTATTGTGGGTGGCCATCCATTTGCCCGTAGTTCACAGCACCAACATATACACCCGTTTTACTGTCTGATAGTAATCTGGGACTCACACCTGTAATTAACTAGTAGTTAGGGTGTGTGTCAAATATGCTAGTATATTTAAGAGTGTATGGAGTTTAATAGTACGGTCAACTTAATTAATGTCACAAATTTTGGTGAATGATTTTTTAAATTTATACTTTGCAAACAACTTTTTTAAATTAAATAGTCTATAATGATATTCATTAAACCATTACCGGCGTCCATAACTGCCTCATACGCCACCTCCAATAGCATACGGCTCTCAGGAACCATAATTTCGGCCATTTCTGGGGTCACACCAAAGAAATTTCCATCAAATCTGTCGTAACTCTCAATGCGTCCCATTCGAGAGGATATGTCACAGAAATCTATACAATATGTTAGGATTCATGTCATTATAATTTCTTTCATATACTTTACTTTAAAGTGAAATCTTTACTAAAAGGCATACCTTTAGGCCAACGACTGTCGCTTTCGGTGATGAGATCGACGCCAGAGAAGAGATTGCGGGCGAAGTCGTCGACACTGTCCGACAGTGGGAATCGACCCGACATTCCGCTGATCACTATATCATCCAAAGACGTGGACATTGTTTTCGCTATAAACTCAAAACAGTATTTGTAATACAATTTAATAAAAGTTTTTTAAATTATAATTTTACTTAAAATGTATATTTAAACCAAAAATGTCTGAATTATATACTAATAAACTACACGAACATAACATCTGCTATAATACCCTAACCAATAGTATCATTGGATTCATGGGGTGATTACGTGCGTTGAATTAAATTTCAAAAAACATGGCTTACGAAATAAATTTAGTAACAATTAATTAATCAGTTGATGAAATCTTATTTTCAAATAATTGATACAAATTGTCAAGTAAACTTGTTTTATTCTCAATATGGCCAAAACTAGCCTATACCCTTATATGTTATAATGGATATAGGCTAGTTTTTGGCCAGATTGAGAATAAAATGAGTTTACATAAATAAACTTTTTATTAATATTAAATTTATATAAAAATCAATTAAAGTATCGATAAATATAATAAAATAATATCATATCACAAATATTTATATTCAATAATATAAAAAAATAATAAAAACAGTTTAATAATTGTGTCAAACAAATGAAACCTAAAAATAGTTTATTTAGTAATAAATGTAGGCATAAATCAATTTGTAATAAGTTATAATACTTTATATAAAAGGTCAATTTGTTTAATAATATGCTTAAAAAGACATGATCTATTAGTAAATAATGTAAACCTGACCAAATCTCAAAATGGCCAAAAAGTAGCCTATATTTTTGGGCCTACAGTATGAATTATATCGCCTTAATGTATGCATGTATGTAAATATGAATGTTTTACAGTG